ACCTTTCCCGTCGCTCGATCCTGGACCTCTGCCGACACGGCACTTTGCCTTGCCACAGCAATCGGGTACACCCTAACACTCGGCCTTGCTTTTGTCCTGTTTAACAGAGTCAATGGGGTGCAAAGGTCCATGAACAGGTGCACAGCTGCCCTTCCTCGAACCTTCAAACGGAGCCACTGGAAAAGAGGGACCCAGGGGGAGACAATGCTTAACCTGACCAAGGTTAACACCCCCGCTGAGGATCCGAAGGCTGAGGAAAATTAGGATCCACATGCCATCTGACAATCCTGATCCACCTGCCATCCGAAAATTAGGATCCACCTGCCATCCAGCCTTCAGGACCCACCTGCCATCTAGCCATTATGATCCACCTGCTACCCGATCATCATGAAAACTGTTGTCTGACGATGTGTGCAGGTGAACTTTGTCAGCCAAAAGGGGGGCTGTAGCGTCTGCGTAGAATCATGCATGATCTTTGGGTTTTATTGACTTAAGAGACCCTTTTAGCTTTTGACATTTGCATATAAATTACAGTCCTGGTCACAGACGTTACACTTATATGGGTGCTAAATGTCAAATGGTCCCCCCTCCCACTCAAATGGTCCCCCCCCCCTTTTTTACAAGGGTAGAGGTGGTAAGTGATTTAAATACGGATATATAAGTATACAAGGATCTTGAAACTGTTCACCCTTTCCACTACATCTCCATTGATGTAGGGTCGTACCCCCACACTGCATTTTTGCACTTTGCTTTTTTGATATCTCTCTTATGAATTTCTTGGAGACTTTACTAATGAGCTGATGAGTTGAGACATCTAAAATGTCCAGTGATGGTAGGTACTCCAGGACCAGGATTGGGAACCACTGTTGAACTTATGAGAATCTGTGCTTTCTGAAGTCAACAGTTAGTTATTTTGTGTTCAGAATTAGATTGTTCTCAATGCTCCACTGGTCCCATGTTTTAGACTAGTTTACTTTACAGTGAACAAAAACAGTTTAGATATTAAAATACTGTGTCAAGGAAAACAATTTATAAGGTTTTGGAGAAAATCTTAAAAAGCTCATAAATCAGTGTCTGAATTAAAGTGAGCTTCAGTCTGGAGTTTGTATTTATATGTGGCTTCTTTGGTGCTTTTTAAAAGCTTTTTATGTTTTGAAGCTGGATCTGGTAACACTATAGGCCTCTTTATCCCCCAAATGTCTGAGAGTCCCATGCTCTCAGTTAAAGGTGAACATCTTTTTAAAAACCTAATGTTTCTGACTGGGAAAAACAATAATTATTTTAGTGACTATAGTGCAAATAGGCTCTCATCAGTGTTTTCAAACGAGTCACAAAAGAAACATTAACATTATTTTAATTGGTTTCAGTGCATATCTTTCCTTGTTCAGATCCTTCACAGTGTCATCTATGTTGTCATAAAGCTGAGACCACGAAACTTGTCAAAGTATTATTCACAAAGGATTACTCAACAATTTACAGATGAAGAGGAAATATATGAACCAGTGGCTCAACATTCCCCAGACTTTTTTTTTTTATATTATAAACTAGATGTATACCAATTATATGTTTTGTACCTGAATACATTTAATTTAGCATAAAGGTCATTACATAAAAAGACAAGCAAATGTGTCTACTATATTGCACTTTATTAAACATAACTAGAATGTTATATATGTTGCCCATCTATAATCAATTTTCTCTCTGTATTCCATCCAGATCTTGTGAACATAATAGAGATGGAAGATGATCGCCGGTTTCACAAACTGACACAAGAACAGGTGGAGACTTTGGACCAAGTTCTTACAGAGGTCATTCCCATTCATGGTAGGGGTAATTTCCCAACCCTTGAAATCAAGCCTAAAGACATAATCCATGTGGTCAGAGACAGATTAATTTTGAAGAAGATCAAGGTGAGAGATGTCCGTCTCAATGGCTCTACAGCCAGTCATGTGCTGGTCAAAGAGAATGGCACCAGCTACAAAGACTTGGATATCATCTTTGGTGTGGAGCTTCCCAAACCGGAGGACTTCCAGATTATCAAGGAGGTGGTTTTGGGCTGTCTGCTGGACTTTCTACCTAAAGGTGTCAACAAAGATAAGATTACAGCTCTCACCATGAAAGAGGCATATGTACAAAAAATGGTCAAGGTCTTCACTGAGCATGACCGTTGGAGCCTTATCTCCCTTTCAAACAACAGCGGTAAGAACGTGGAGCTCAAGTTTGTCAACTCTCTACGACGCCAGTTTGAATTCAGTGTGGATTCATTTCAGATCATCCTGGACAGTATGCTACAATCTTATTTGGATGCTGAAAGGAGGAAGATTGTGGAAGGACAAGAGGGCCAAGACTCTTCTTTAGCTCAAAGTCAAGGAATTCAGACAGCCCTAATGGATGAACCACTCCTCAGCTCTTGTGAAACAGGGCATCACCAGGAAAGTGACATCAACATGTCCTGCAAAACTGATGATATTCAGACTTTTCGTGACTCTCAGTGTTATTGTAAAACGAGTCAGAAAGAGCAGTCTAAATGTTCAGAACAAGAACCAACACTTGAAACAAACAAAGATGTTGAAACAGAGATGGTTCAAACCACAACTACGCCTGTATCTATGGAGCAAGTATCAGAGCACTCTGTAATGGTGCATGTGGAGGAAAAGGATGAACTTCATGAAAATTTGCAAACTGAGACACTGCTCGAAGTAAATGCAAATGAAACTGGTATGGACTCAGGGGAGGGAAATGAACTAGTTGGGGTAAAAACTATGTCTGTTAAGGAAACAAATCCCAACGTTAAAACTTATATTCATGAAACAGATTCTGACAAAACAGAATACATGTTAGACATAGAGCCAGATAAATCCCAACCATGGCTTGAAATGGTACATACAGACTTTTCTTGTCTTTCAACAACCGGGACCTTTGGTGAGCGATGCACATTCCAACCTGCTCCCATTACATTTCTTACACAATCAGCACTAGAATCATATGCGGAGTATCCTTTACCACCCCCTGCCAAGAAAAACAGCCAAAATTCACAAATGGTTGTTCTCAAGCATTCCTCACCCAAACCTCCTCGGAAAATGTCAAAAAAGATAACTCTTGTACAGAGTTCACCAGAAAAATCAGTGTCAAGTAATTCCGATGTTAATACTTGTCAGGTTTTGCATCCACCTAAAGCTTACCCAAATGAATCATTACCTATGCAGGTTAAAATGTCAGGTCTTACCACAAAAAGCTTTGAATTATCCAGTGCCTCAGAAAATGACTCTAACGAGTCTAAAGAACTAGCCAATTGTACCAGAGCTTTTACTGTTGCTGCTCCAGAGAATGGTATGCATTCAGAAAAGACATTGTACACGAGTCTATCACCAGAGGAAAGCCTTCAAAGTCGAGAGCAAACTTCAGAACCAGAAACTGGTGAAGCAACTCACGTCACTATTCTAATTCCTACGTCCAATCCCAATAATCTCCCCAAAGATCAAAACAGGATAAACCAGGCTTTTAATGAAAGTGTTCAGACAGCACAGTGTCAGGCAATGGTACCTCTTATTAATGTGAATTCTGAGCCTTTACTTCAGGCAAATGACAGTTTTGACCTCAACTCAGCCTCTCCCAAAAATAAAGATATTGAGCCTTTTGCTCAAGTTGATGATGCCACATCACCAAAATATCTTACTGAACCCTCAGAATTAGTCACTATGGCAACAAATTGTGCCTCTCAAATGCTAAAACCACTGTCTGCAGACCTTACTATTGACTCACAAAAGGTAGGGACTAATTCATCAGGCTCTGAACATGTTATATCACCTCAAGTTCACAACTACCCCGTGTCCACTCTGCAGACTCAGGAACTTCTTGTGCCAAGTCCACAGACTAAAGAACCTCCAGAACTATTATCACTTGTCTCATTACCACAAGTTCAAAGCCTCACAGTTTCAGCACCACATTTGTCAAAGCCACTAGAACCTTCCATATCCTCAACAACAAATCTAGAATCTTCAAGAAGCTCAGAACCTGTTTTAGAACCATCTGTTATGTCTCTGAATGTCATAGACCCCTCTGAAGTATTCTGTGAAGTCGCAGAACCATCTGAACCACTTTCACAGGGTTTGAAACCCTCTGCAGCATCGATGTTGCATACATTAGAAACATCTATGTCATCAGTAAGTGAGGAGGTGGATTCCAAGATATCAGACCCATCAGCTTCAGACATTAACGAGCCCATACGCCCTTCAAAAGAGCTGCCTTGCATTACAGTGTTGGCTGAGAGCATGTATGGTGACTTTGAGCAAGCTATGGACCACCTACGTTACCGGCTAATAGCGACACGCAACCCTGAAGAGATCAGGGGTGGAGGCCTGCTCAAGTACAGTAATCTGCTTGTCCGGGACTTCAAACCTGCCTGTGAAACAGAAATTAAGACTCTTGAGCGCTACATGTGTTCACGTTTTTTTATTGACTTCCCTGATGTGAATGAGCAGCAGCGCAAAATTGAGTCATACCTGCGCAACCACTTTATTGGAGAGGAGAAAAGTAAATACGATTACTTGATGACCCTTCGGAGAGTGGTCAATGAGAGCACTGTGTGCTTGATGGGGCATGAACGACGTCAGACTCTCAATATGATTACCATTCTAGCACTTAAAGTCCTGGGTGAGCAGAACATCATTCCCAATGCCAATAACGTTACCTGCTATTACCAGCCTGCACCATACATGACAGACCACAACTTCAGTAACTATTACATTTCAAATGGCCAGTCCCCACTGATATACCACCCCTATCCACTACACATACACATGCAGTCTGGATTAGTTTAGGTCTAAGTACATTACGTAGATGGGAAAATGCACAGGGAAATCTCTGAATCTTGCAACCTTAAAAATATCCATCACAAATTATCTACCCTTAAGTATGTGTCCCAACACTTAACTGAAAAAAAAAACCAGTTAAGTACCTACCAACAGTGTGTGTCAATTAAGATCTGGTATTGACTATAAGTGAGAATTACACATACAAACCATTGAATATGAAGGTTAAAACAAATGTCACAGACATTTCATTGAAAAAAGACAATAACAAGGTAATTGGCTTTAAAACAGGAAGACGAAAAAAGACTGCAATAAATAATATCTACCCTTAAGTATGTGTCCCAACACTTAACTGAAAAAAAAAACAGTTAAGTACCTACCAACAGTGTGTGTCAATTAAGATCTGGTATTGACTATAAGTGAGAATTACACATACAAACCATTGAATATGAAGGTTAAAACAAATGTCACAGACATTTCATTGAAAAAAGACAATAACAAGGTAATTGGCTTTAAAACAGGAAGACGAAAAAAGACTGCAATAAATAGTGACTACAAAAATAAATTAGGAGGAAAAAACTTGGTTAGGCCTATTCTTGTCTTAGTAGCAGGAAAGTCCTGTTGTAACAAACAATCAAAACATTAGAAAAGGTAAATGCTTTTGATAGAAACACTATTTTCAATAATTTAATGCTTTATTGGCATGACGAAAAGTGCAAGAGAAATAATCAGCATGCAGCCAACGCTTTATTACGTAGTAAGGTACTTTTGTTGTCTGAAACAATTAAACTGATTGTTCCCGTCTTGTTATGCTCTAAGAAAGTTCAGTAAGGTCAGTGTTCCATTCTGTTTTTCTGATTTCTGTTTGAATTAAGTATTTTATATGTTGTGATACGTCTTAGTACATCTACTGGGTATGTGTATTTTTATTTAGAATATATGCTTATTAGTAGATTATGAATGATGATTCCAGGGATGTCCAGTTGTGCTCCTGGAGGGCCATTGTCGTGCAGCGTTTAGCTCCAACACACCTGCCTGCAACTTTCCAGTGATCCTGAAGATCTTAATTAGGTGATTCAGGTGTGTTTAATTAGGACTAGTGCTGAATTCTGCTGCAAGGTGGCCTTCCAGGAACAGGATTGGAAAGCCTTGATGTATTCAATATCTCACAAGAATCATACGTCTTCAGAATATGAGAAAAAAGCTCCATTCCTCATCATATGACTAAATGTGACCCTGGACCACAAAACCAGTCTTAAGTGTCAATTTTTCGAAATTGAGATGTATACATCATCTGAAAACTGAATAAGTAAGCTTTCCATTGATGTATGGTTTGTTAGGATCGGACGATATTTGGCTGAGATACAACTATTTGAAAATCTGGAATCTGAGGGTGCAAAAAAATCTAAATATTGTGAAAATAGCCTTTAAAGTTGTTCAAATTAAGTTCTTAGCAATGCATATTACTAATCAAACATTAAGTTTTGATATATTAACGGTAGGAAATTTACAAAATATCTTCATGGAACATGATCTTTACTTAATATCCTAATGATTTTTTGGCATAAAAGAAAAATCGATAATTTTGACCCATACAATGTATTGTTGGCTATCGCTACAAATATACCCCAGCGACTTAACATTGCTTTTGTGCTCCAGGGTCACAAATGAGAGATTTCAGGAAAAACTATCTAGTGATCTACAAATGTTTGTTTGACCAAATGTACAATATGGAATGCATTAAATTGATGTAAACAAATCTCAAATTTGACAGAGTGAGGTACAAAGATTACTACCAAACTTGGACAAATACAAAAAAGAAAACAAACCAACCAACTACAAAAGAAGAAAGAATAAGGACGTTTGCTGGTGTCTTTTGTGTATCTATGGCGCACAATGTTAATTTTACACAGAGAGTAACAAGCAGTCTTCTTTAGTTTTCTTTTCTTATACTGTAAATGTAGCCTCAAACAATCCATGTGAGGACATTAAATGATGTTATTTAATATTTCTTTGTATTTAACAGAACCATCAGTGGTGCTGAAGACTTAAATACATTTCCACCCCCTTTTTACATCTTTGTGACAAAAATGCATATATTTTTCCAAGAATTTATGTGTAGAACTGTATTATAGCCTACATGAAAGATTGCACCAGCCACACATACAGTATACACAGATAAACATGAATAGAAACTATAAAGTCAGGACCAAAAACATAAAAGTGTGTATCGTTGGACATCAATATGGCATGAAGATTACTGAACTGTTATTTTCAGTTGAGTGATTATTATAACAACATTTATTAAAGTGATTTGTCTAAATAATACATTTTTCAGAAGCAAGAGAAAATAAACTTGTATGGCATGTTGGCTTCACTGAAATTGTATAAAGAAATTTTATTTTTAGGTTATCTTGAGTACATAGTGAAAGTATTAGCAAATGTTTGACCTTGACCTTAAAAATAATAAAATGCAAAGGTTTCATAGATCTTAGATAGTTAGATAGTTATTCAAACCTGTGGAGTTACTTTTTCCTGTGCAGACCAACAGTTTTTGTAAAGTATTGGCTTGATTGTATGATGATTTAACATTCTGTTTTACCTTTATGTAACCGTCTACCTATGAAATACAGCCAAAACCTGTAGTAACACTGTGGTTAGAAATAGGTTTAGACTGAAATGTTTACCGAGATGATGTACACCCATCATGAAATACTTAAAACAGTTTATATGACCAAAATTATTTTTGCAGGAAAACATCAGTGCCTAAATGAGCAGGAGAAAGCTGTAAAGAAGGTGACAGAAAGGACAATGCTCCTGCAAATGCAGCAGTCACTTTTTTTTTCAGGTGTACATTATCTCCTCTTCTCATGCTATTTGTGTTGATGTCAGATGTAGTTCTGTGCTGTGGCTAGTTTTGTTCATTTAATAAAAAGGATAGAAAAAGAATAGACCCACTTCATTGCATATGAGTATTGATGTTCTGTTTATGTAAAATATAAGATATTTTGTGTGCGTGTGTGTGTGTTTCAGGAATATACTACACTATGGGGACAAAATGTCCCCACCATTGCAATATGCAACATTTTTGACCTTGTGTGGACATTTTTTACCAGCAGCTTATAAATCATACAGAATGAAGTTTTTGAAAATTTAAAAAGTCCTATAAAACCTATAGTATAAACCTAACATGTATGATTCCCCAAAGTAATACTTCAGTATAGTAGTGCTATTACTATCAGTCATGCTAGTAGTGCTAATGCTATTACTCAAATACTTCACACGTCCACATGTCAAATTACTGCTGTTTCTCATTCAAGGCCTGTCTCACAACCTTTAAGATGATATCATTGGGATCTTCAGTGGAGATGTGTGTGTTTCCATTTTCATCACAGAATTTATCAAATTGTGAGCTATACAGTGATTTGAGGACAAGCTTTAAAAAGCTTACACCCACATCGCTGACCGAGCTCACAGGACTCCCCATGTGCACCAAAAGCATGCGCCATGAAGCCAGCTGAGCTGAACGAATTAAGTTTTACAGGATCGTTTTCAGTTTGATGAAACCAATAATGCACGAGCATGTGCTCATGTACAGTGAGTTGGATGTTTGCTGCCAGTCGCATGGAAATAATTATATCCAAACAGCAAAACAAACTCAGACCGTAGTTTAAAGTCCTCAGTGATCATCAGTGGCTGGTATCTCCTCTTCTCATGCTATTTGTGTTGATGTCAGATGTAGTTCTGTGCTGTGGCTAGTTTTGTTCATTTAATAAAAAGGATAGAAAAAGAATAGACCCACTTCATTGCATATGAGTATTGATGTTCTGTTTATGTAAAATATAAGATATTTTGTGTGCGTGTGTGTGTGTTTCAGGAATATACTACACTATGGGGACAAAATGTCCCCACCATTGCAATATGCAACATTTTTGACCTTGTGTGGACATTTTTTACCAGCAGCTTATAAATCATACAGAATGAAGTTTTTGAAAATTTAAAAAGTCCTATAAAACCTATAGTATAAACCTAACATGTATGATTCCCCAAAGTAATACTTCAGTATAGTAGTGCTATTACTATCAGTCATGCTAGTAGTGCTAATGCTATTACTCAAATACTTCACACGTCCACATGTCAAATTACTGCTGTTTCTCATTCAAGGCCTGTCTCACAACCTTTAAGATGATATCATTGGGATCTTCAGTGGAGATGTGTGTGTTTCCCTTTTCATCACAGAATTTATCAAATTGTGAGCTATACAGTGATTTGAGGACAAGCTTTAAAAAGCTTACACCCACATCGCTGACCGAGCTCACAGGACTCCCCATGTGCACCAAAAGCATGCGCCATGAAGCCAGCTGAGCTGAACGAATGAAGTTTTACAGGATCGTTTTCAGTTTGATGAAACCAATAATGCACGAGCATGTGCTCATGTACAGTGAGTTGGATGTTTGCTGCCAGTCGCATGGAAATAATTATATCCAAACAGCAAAACAAACTCAGACCGTAGTTTAAAGTCCTCAGTGATCATCAGTGGCTGGAGGATATCAAACGTTGAGGAAATGTCCTTACCAAAACACCAGGATCATGTGGTTGAAACCTGTCACTTTATTTTACAAACATTGGAGATTACATATCAGGGGTATGAGTACATGATGCTTTTGTTTGTTTCTTTATAATTAATTATCATGTGAACTCAATACAGTCTAATTTCTTAAATTCAAACAATCAAGAGGTTCACAACATTTATCCTTGTTTTAACCTCATGTTAGGCTTTTTAATTCACCTCAAAAGACTAAGATCACTTCAGTACACCTGCCACTGATTTGGACACAAACTCTGGTTCAAAATGCTCTGTAATGGATTATTAACGTAACTGGTCACACTTTATATTACGAGGCCTTAACTACTATGTACTTACATAAAAAATAAGTACAATGTACTTATTGTGTTCATATTGTATTGCAAAACACGTTTGCTGCTATTGATGTGGGATATGGGTAAGGACAGGTTTGGTAGGTTTAATGGTGGGTTAAGGTGTAAGAAGATGGGTCATCAGTGTAATTATAAATGTAATTACAGAAATTAATTACAGATGTAACTACATATAGGT